ACAATGAGAAGAAAAAAGAATCCCCCCTCCCAAAATGAGGATCATATAAGTAGCATCTGGGACAACTTCCAAAGGTCCAACATTTGCATCACAGGGGTGCCAGAAGGAGAAGAGAAAAAGCAAGAAATTGGAAATCAATTTGAAAAAAAAAAAGAAAGAAAGAAAACATCCCTAATTTGATGAAGGAAATAAACATGCAAGTCCAGGAAGCACAGAGAGCCCCAAACAAGATAGATGCAAAGAGGCCCACTCCAAGATACAGCATAATTAGAATGCCAAAGATTAAAGATAAAAAAAGAATCTTAAAAGTAGCAAGATAAAAGAAGTTTGTTACCTACAGGAGAGTTCCCATAAAACTGAGCTGATTTCTCAAAAGAAACTGCAGGCTAGAGGGGATTGACAAGAAATATTCAAAGTCATGAGAAGCAGGGACCTACAGCCAAGATAGTTCTACCTAGCAAAGCTATCATTTAGAATTGAAGGGCAGATAAAGTGATTCAGACTTTGGCCCGCAGGGTCCATGTGTTGTGGCTGCGATGAGCAAATTCACACGGACTTCAGAAGTTCTGTGGAGAAAAAGGGATGGCGTGGCTGATCTCTAGGTGAGAGAGAGGGCCCCGGCCCCTGCCTGGACAAGCTTTTATTGCTCTTCTGGGTACATTACATTGAGGGTGGTCCTCATTTACTGTGCACAGGTTCACTTTAGGTGGTTATCTTTTACAGATAACAAAGGAAAGAATGTTGATAATTCAAAGGATATTTGCAAATGCAAGGGGAAAGGTGGTTGAACTGGTTACACTCCATACTTGGGAGGTTTAGCACAGATTTTGGCAAGTTACTTCAAAGATATGCAGTAAACATTTGCTGCCTCAATTCAGGGTGAGGGAGTTTTAGCAAAAAGCAAGCCTCAAGGCAGCCTAGGTACAGTGCAGGCCTGATTCCCCTCGGGGAAACCGATGCATGGGCTTGGTTTCTGTGTGCCAACTCGCTCCCCACCTATTTTCCAGATCACGAAAAGGTTCCCTATAATAAAGAGCTTCCCAGACAAGGAAAAAAACTAAAGGAGTTCGTCATCACCAAACCATTATTATATGAAATGTTAAAGGTACTTGCGTAAGAAAAAGAAGATCAAATATACAATCAATAAAATGGCAACAAATACTTGAATCTTGAAAGACAAACGAAGCAAACAAGAACAGAGGCAGAATAATGGTTATGGAGAGCGTTTTTGATGGCCAGATGGGAGGGGTATGAGTGAATGGGTGAAGAGGTGAGGGAATTAAGAAGTACCAATAGGTAGTTACAGAATAGCCATGGGGATGTAAAATACAGTGTAGGAAATGGAGCAGCCAAAGAACTTACACTCATGACCCATGGACATGAACAATGGTGGGGGGATTGCCTGAGGGAGTGGGGTTGCTGGGTGGAGGGGGGCAAAGGGAGGGAAATCAGGACAACTGTAATAGCATAACCAATAAAATATAATTTAAAAAATATATCCACAAAATTTTATTACATTTAATAAGATAATTAACCATAATTCCTTAATCACATATTCCTTCTGTGTTCAAATTTCTCCGTACACCTTCAAATAAGATCCATAGGTTATATTTGGCTGCTGTATCTTTTAAGTCTCTTTTGACCTATAGGATCTTTCTCAGTATGTCTCTCCTTTTTTTTTCCTTTTGAAGTCTACTTATGGAAGAAAATTTCTATAGATTTTTTTCACAATCTGGAGCTTCCTGATTGCATCCCATGGTGTTTGTATCAAAGTTCCTCTGTCCTGTGTTTTTCCTCTAAATTCTAATTAGTGCTATAGCAATAATTCTCCAAGTGAGGTTCCAAGATCAAAAACATCAACATCAACGTGGGAAGTTTCATAGAAATACAAATTCATGCTTGGCCTCATTACAGGCCCATTGAATCAGAGACTCAAGATGGTTTTCTGCCCTGGCAGGTGTAGCTCAGTGGATTGAGCACGGGCTGCGAACCAGGCATCACAGGTTCCATTTCCAGCCAGGGCACATGCCTGGGTTGCAGGCCATGGCCCCCAGCAACCGCACATTGATGTTTCTCTCTCTCTCTCTTTCTCTCTTCCTCTCTCTCTCCCTTCCCTCTCTAAAAATAATAAATAAAATCTTTGTTTAAAAAGATGGTTTTCTGCAATATATTTTAAGTAGTTCTTCACATGATTCTGATACACCCTAAAGTTTGGGAACCGTTGTTATACAGCCTTAGTCAAATTCAGGTTTGTCTCTCCTTCTTCCCCCCACCAACTATTTTGTAGCTGTTGATGTGTTTCCCTTAGAAGGCACGTGAAGCTGATCAGTCTCATTTATGAGGCTGGTGATCATGTCAATATTGCCTACACTATGGGCATTGTTATGCATAAGATGGAACACTTCTGTAAAAAAATTCCACTCTATTAACTCTTAGGTTACCTGTAGTCTAGTTGGTTCACGAAAAGCAGGGTAAATGCTTGAGTCTTTTCCTTTAATTAACCTGGATTCAAAATAATAAGTTGGTTCTCGAGCATGCTGCGAAGACGACCAATTGAAAGGTTTTCTTAGGCTCCTCGGAGGAATAAATGCCAATCAGCCACCAAGTTAGGCAGTATAGGGCTTTATTGGGGTTTGCACACCCAGGCGAGGTTCCCCGGTCCGCACGGTGGGGCCGAGGAAGTCGCGCCCAAGCAGGGAATATGGCGGGGTTTTATTTTGGCTGGCTCTCTCCGTGGGCGCTGGGGATTGGTCCCCTTTGAACAAAGTGGCAATGTATCATTGGTGGTTCTCCTCCGGCTCAGGTTGCTTTGCGGATATCCGCTTTGGCAAAGCCCGCCGTTTTGGCTCCCTGGTTTGACGTCAGCCGTCTTTTCCGGGTTGTAGTTCAGCCGCCATTTTGTCCTACCCCACCATTCCTGACACCAATGAAGTCTGAAAAAATATCAGTATAAACTCAAGGATCTCACTTTATCTGATTTTTTAAAGTGATTTTATTTATTTATTTTTAGAGAGAGGGGAAGGAGGGAGAAAGAGAAGGAGAGAAATGTCAATGTGCGGTTGCTTCTCGTGTGCCCTGTACTGGGGCCCGCAACCCAGGCATGTACCCTGACTGGGAATTGAACTGGGGACCCTTTGGTTCACAGCGCACGTTGGGTCTACTGAGCTGCACCAGCCAGGGCTCTGATGTTTTAATCTATTGCCATTTTGTTCTTATTTGATGCTCATGGTATCCCATCTGTGTAGTGGGAACTTCTTCCTGTTTCTACCTAACACCCTTGAGATGTGACCCATGTTTCTTTTGTGTGTCCTTGATTTCTGGTAGATTTTCCAGTACGTACTGTTACACCTTTAGTTCTAGACTAGTTACTGGGATTAGTAATTTCTTCAAGGACTCCTATTTCCCTTTAGGCAAACATAGTAGAGACCACGATCTAGATGGTAGGGATGCTCATTGGTACTGCGGTTAGTCATATTTTTCATTTAAGTTCAAGAGTTTTTAGTGTTTTTACTCAACTTAATGTATATCCCTTCTCTAATGCCAGAAAATCCCAGTATTTAACAACAAAATTACTCTCTTCTCTGACCAGCATGGCTCAGTTGGCTGAGAGTCATCTTGCAGAGCGAGAGGTTGCCAGTTTGATTCCCAGTCAGGGTGCATGCCTGGGTTGGAGGGTGCCCCTGACTTTGGGGGTGTGGGCCACTGATCAGTTTTTCTCGCACATCCATGTTTCTCTCCTTCTCTTTCTCCCTCCTTTCCCCTCTCCCTAAAAATTAATAAATAAAATCTTTTTTAAAGAGTTGTTCTCTTTCTTCATCTCATAGCACACACAAACAGTCTCAGAATCCTAAGACTAACAGTATGATTTCTGAAAACTAAGATTATCTTGAGTTCTTGTTACCTTTAGGATATACCCCACTAAGATGTCCAGTCAAATCACTTGAAATGGTTCTTTGTGTGCTTTTGCTCAAAATTTAATATATTGAATACAGTTAATTTTGCTTTATATTTTGGGGATTGCTTTTTCAAATTTAATTGTATAATTTTGTAAAATATTTATATGGTTCCAAAGTCCAGTATGTAACAAAAGGTATATTCAGAAAAGTCTGACTTCTACCATCGTAGCCTTCTTCCCTTTGCTAGTTTTGAGTTTATTTTGCTCTTTTTTCTACTTCCTTAAGTTGTACAATTAGGTTATTAATTTGAGATCTTTCTTAAATGTAGACATTTACAGCTGTAAATTCCCCCTTAGCACTACTTTCAGGGCATTCCATAAATTTTGGTATATTGTGTTTTTGTTTTCATTTGTCTCAAGGTATTTTCTAATTGCCCTTCTGATTTATACCTGTACATTTAAATTAATATCATTGTGGTTGATTGTTGGTAGTGATGTTTTAAAATGATTTTTTCAGCATTTATAGATATCGCATAGCAAGAGAATAGACCTTGCATTATAGTTTTTAAATTTGTGACTATGTTTTTTTCCCCTAGAAGTTCAAGTTGTTGTTTGTTGTTGATTTCACATCTCCCTGGTTGTTTTTGGTTGTATCTTATTCTTCCTATGTTTTTGACTCACTTTATGTCTTTGTTATAAACATACTTTTTATTTTGTAACAGTTCTATAATCTTGATATCTAACTCTTTGTGAGGTATCCTCTGATATCTATCACTCATGCTCAATTGTGTCAGTATGTGTTTTATAATTTTAGGTTGTATAGTAGCGTTTAGTGGGGTTTTAATTATGGAAATCCATGTGACCTGCCTGCATTGAGGGCTTAAGCTGGTATACCCTTCATACATCTACCAGAGTGACAGGCATTGGTATTTCAAATGATCAAAGGAATCTCTCCCATACCCATCTAGCTAGAATGATACCATTTGGTATCATTTGGTATCAAGATGCTTAATTCTATTGCTAAAGATCTTTGCAAAAAGGGAGGATAAAAATGGGGTCATATGACATTATGATGACTAAATATTGTTTCTTCTTTCTTTTACAGTTCCAATTCCTAGTAGATATGACCGGAGAGTATCAGGTATGTGTTCTCTTTCAAAACATACTGCTAAAATGCTATTTTGAGATAGGATTACCTTAAATAAAAACAAACTGATCTTTTTAATAAAAAGTTAGCATTCAGATGATTAAAATGACTTGATTCCTTCATTCTGTTTCACTTTAACTTCTAAGTATCTATGTATATAGTTTTGTGTTGCTGTAATTAGTTAATTATTATATCATTAATATTCTTCCATGTTTATAATTGTGGCTTCAGAAAACTACACTTAATATTACTATTTATGGTTTTTCAGATTATGCTGCCATTAACTTCTTGCATACAGTTTTCAGCCACTTAAATTACTTCCTCAGTTACAGTGTTGGGAGTGGCATTCCCCAGTCAGTGACTAAGCATTGCGTTGGCTTTTCCTGTGCGTTGCTTTCTAGAGACAGTCTGTAGGACAGGCTGCGGGGAGAAAGACATCCCGCAAAGGTCTCTTTTCCAAAACCGTCTTGCTAACACGCATGGTGCCTACTCCTTTAAAGATTCTGTATATTTACGGACTACTTCTTTAGTTTAGATGTAAAATAGTACCTCAGATTGTTTTTATTTGGCATTCCATTCATAATTCATAAAAATAAGTGTTTTCCAAACAAAGGGAAGTCTTCTTTTATTATTTTTGTATGGAACTAGTTTAGTAATACTTGACCCTTTTATCTCTTATAGTCTAGATTATTTTTGTAAGTTTGAGTAAATTTCTGTCATGATTTTTAACCATTTGAAATTTTAATGCAAAGTTTTCCATATTGGTTGTGCTATTTTAATTTTGCTATTTTTTTATTTACTCAAAATTTCCATTATGTAACTAGTACTTTATACCCTGCCTGGCACATAGAAGGCACTCAGTGAATAGTTATTGAATATATACATCCTCTCCTTTTTTTTCAAGATCGCTCCTAAGTTGAGGAGGTCCCCCTTTTTTCATAGAGCTGATGAGTATATTTTCTAAAAGTTTTTCATGTAATTAAAATGTTAGACTTTTGGATACATCCAGAATTTGATCATTTGTTTATAAAGAAAAGACTTTTATTAGCAAGTTGTAATAACATCTAGAGTTAATTTCGTTTTATACAGTTGGAGTGTTAATGTGTTTTAGGATTGCTATGCAAGCTGTATGTGTCACATTCTTTCATTTCACCTTGTTCTGAGAATGTTTCTTGCCCCTACATTTACCCTTCTTGTCCCTCAGTCCTTTCATTTAGGAAAATCTTATCATTCGGAAAGCCTTTTACCTAGACTGACCAGTTAACATTTTGCCACATTTCCTCTTTCTGTCATGTGCATATGTAACGTTGTACACCAAAGTCTGCTGAAAGGAGATTGAAGGATGTGTTCTTATGTACAGACAGTTGTTTACAGAGAGGAAGTAGAGTAGAGATTAAGGTTGGCGCAAAGGCTAGTGAGTGATCATCTCCTGTTCGTGTTCATCCCTGCCTGCATTCTCTGCCCCCCCCAAAAGATTAATAATATTCCTTGACATCTGCAGGACCGATCTGGGCAGTGGAGAGTACAGTGGCATCTCCAGAGGCACAGGTGGTGGTAGTTCATGAATTGCTGCTTGGGCTGTCAGTGATTCAGCCCTTGAACTGTTGAAAACTCAGACAAGCACATGTTATTTGTCCCCCTTAAATTGTACAGTCTGTTTCTCTTTGTATTCAGTTGTGGAATTACTCCATCTGTATCAATTTAATTTTGATTTTTCAATATGTAAAGTATTTAATATGACTTAAATGTTAAAACTGCATAAAAGAATTTTCTCAGAGGAATTTTATTCCTTTCCCTATACCTTCTTTTTGCTTGTGCCTACCCTTTGTTTCTGAGTAATTATATTAATTTCTGAGTAATATAATTATATTACTCAGAAAGTAATACAATTGTTTATCCCTTTTTTTCCTTTTGGAAAAATAAATAGGTAAAAAAATTGTATATATATTGAAATATTTGTTTACTCCCTCCCTCCCCCATTTTTAGCTCTCCTACTTTCCCATGGAAGTCCTTTCTTGCTGGAGGGATGGCATATTACATGTGCTTTTCACCTTGCTCTTTTTCCTCCGACCTCACCCTCTGTTAGCCTGTGGAAATCTTCCTCATTCTTCTTAGCTGTGTTATTCAAATGGACACTTACTATCATTTATGATGTTTTTGCTATCATAAACAATTGCTCAGTGAATATTTTTTAAATCTTTAAATTACAACAAAGGCAAGTCGTACAGGAAACTGGCATACACACAGGTTACCTACAAAGAAAATCAAGATGGTTTTAGATGTATGTAATGTACCTAGAACAGAGTGTGACACGAAGTATTTATTTTGTCAGAAGTTCATTCTTTTTTTTAAGTCATTCATGTACTTACTGATGGTAAGTTATTTTAATTGATCCTGTTCATAATTACTCCATATCCATATGCATATGTTGCATATATTGCACTTTGTGGTTTTCCACCCCTGCTTCATAACAGCAGAGATAGCACCTCATGCTTGTCCTTGGCACCATAGTAGGATTTGGTAGATGGTATACATGGTGGGTCAAAAGTGTGTTTATGTTCCTTGGCTGGTGTGGCTCTGTGGGTTGATCACCGGACTGCGAATGAGGGCATCACCAGTTTGATTCCCAGGCAGGGCATGAGGCCGGCCAGCAAGGGCCAGGTCCCCACTGGGGAGTGTGTGAGGGGCAATCTCTCACACACACACTGATGTCTTTCTCCCTCCCTCTTTCTCCCTCCCCTCTCCTCTCTCGAAAAAATAAAAAATAAAAATCTGTTTAGAAAATATATATTTACAGTTGTGAGTACGTGAAACATAGTTTATTCTTATATTATTATTTATTAATTATTGTATTATTTTACATATGAATGACTATAAACCACTTTTGACCCATCCTGTATTTTTTCATCTCTCTCCTGTTCGGAATTACAAATTAGGAATTACAAATCCCTAGAGACCTGGCCTTTCAGCATCTAACAGGATGCCTCACATTAGTAGGTATTTAATGTATTTGTTAATTGAAAGAAAGGATTTAAAAAATCATTACAGCTTTAGCAAAGAGTGAATAAAAGGAAATTGTGTTCACTTCCTATTTTCCTAGTTAAAAGCACACATCTGTTTCATTGATTTTTCTCTTTATTTTTTCTCTCCAAATTTAGTTTGTGCTGAGGCCTATAACCCTGATGAGGAAGAGGAAGATACTGATCCAAGGGTAAGAACTACAGCAAAGAGTACTGGGTAGAACTGTTTTATAACCCACTTACTCCCCTGCTCCTCTACATACCAAATCAAATCATGCTGGTAATTAATACAAATTAAAATCTCAAGAAGGTACCATTTTTTTAATCTAGCAGATTGACAAATATTAAGAATTATACATATGAAACTAATACAAAATAACATTGAATGTAAACTGAAGTTGAAAAATAAGCCCTGGCTGGTGTGGCTCAGTGGACTGAGTGCTGGCCTGTGAACCAGAGGGTCGCTGGTTCAATTCCCACTCCAGGCACATGCCTGGGTTGAGGGCCAGGTTGCCATTGGGGGGAGGGGCGTGCAAGAGGCAACCAGTCACTATTTCTCTTACACATCAATGGTTCTCTCCTTCTATTCTCCATCCCTCCCCTAAAAATAAATAAATACAGTCTTTAAAAAAATAAAAATAGCCCTGACTGGTGTAGCTCAGTGGATTGAGTGCAGGCTGTAAACCAAAGGGTTGCCAGTTCGATTCCCAGTCAGGCCACATGCGTGGGTTTCAGGCCAGGTCCCCAGTATGGGGCACATGAGAGGCAACCACACATTGATATTTCTCTCCCTCTCTTTCTCCTTTTCTTCCCCTCTCTCAAAAAATGAATAAATAAAATCTTTTTAAAAAGTCTATTTATAAAAAATATATATCTATATATAATAACATTTTTAAAAATAAGAATGAAAGCAAGGCTAATTGAGTTACTGGAAAGAAGGGGTGCCTCGCTATACCTATCAAAGCCTTAAGCTTAGTCAGGACAACTGGCCCAGCAGTTCCCTGAAGGAGAATTCATTCCTTAACAGTTGGGTCTATTTGTTCAATTATTTCTGGAAGGCTGTATCTCAGAGGTTAACAGTGGTTGTGGCTGGACTGTGGTTGACTTTTGGGAGCTTTTTAAAAAACTTCAGTTTTAAAATTCTTATACAGTTAACAAATTACTTCTATAAAAGCAAATGTGAAGCATCATTTTTAAAAGATTGATGTTATAAAAGAAACTTTGATGATCTTTCAAGTATGCCTTAAAATGAATAGCCTATTAAAGATTTCTGAAGTATCCTAATAGTAAAATGCTGCCATTGTGTGAATATAATAGACGTAGGTTTTTAAAAATATTTTTATTCTGGATATTGTAAAATACCTGATGACTTTTCAAAGTTAAATTGATTTTTTTACTAACTTTATTCAAAATACTTCACACTTTTGATATGTTATTTCTGGTTATATTACATGATGTACCTTTCTTTTAGGATGAAGACAATACTTAGGAACGATGGGCCTCTCAATTATAAACACCAGCAGTACTAGCGAAAATTGTTTTTTGTTCAATAAATGTTTGTCGAGCATAATAATAGTAATAGTTTTGAGCATCTACTAAATGTCAGGTACTGTTTTAAACACTGCATATATTAACTTATTTAATCTTTATGGCAACTCTAATTTTATTTATTTTTTAATACTTTTAAAAAGATTTTTATCTATTTATTTTTAGACAGAGGGAAAGAGGGAGAGAAACATCATCAATTAGTTGCCTCCGCACACCCCCAACTGGGGGCCTGGTCCACAGCCCAGATATGTGCCCTGACCAGGAATTGAACCAGCGACCTTTAGGTTTGCAGGCTGGTGCTCAGTCCACGGAGCCACACCAGCCAGGGCACATCTCTAATTTTATAGATACTACCACTACTATTACTATTGCTAATAATAATGATTACTGTTATTTGTTGATGTTTGAGTTCTAGCTTATATAGCCATTGTTTACTTTCCATGTTTCAACAGACAACTCAAACTTAACATGAATTCCTGATTATCTCTCCTTTTAAACATTCTTTCACCATAGTCTTCTCCAGCTCAATTCATGGCAGTACCATCCTTCCAGTTGCTCAGGCCAAAAACTTTAGGGTCACCCTCTGGTCCTGTCATTTTTCCATACCCATATTTAAGTTTTCAGCAGTTTCGTTGGGCTCAGTCTTTAAAACAGCCGAAATTCCACTACTTCTCAGCACCTCCACTGCTACCACCGTGTTCCTGACGATCACCATCTGGCAGTGGGATAATGACAGTAGCGTCCTGGCTCTCACCCTTTCTTCCCAAGGCTGTCCTCTACTCAGCAGCTAGTGTGAGCCTTTGAAAACATTCGATCTCTTCCTTTCCTCAGTCACAATCCTTAAACTGTCCCCGTGTCACTGAAGAAAAGTTCCAGTTCTGTGACCTACAGTGCCCTCTGCATTTGGGCATCACCCACACCCAGCCCCCCAACCTGCTGCTCTCTTCCCAGCCTTTCCCCCTCACTCTGCATTAGCCACATCTGTCTCCTGGCTGTTTCTCAGACATGCTGTTTACCTACCATAAGGACTTGTTTTTACTTGCTGTTCCCTTAGCTTGAAGTGCTCTTCCTGCAGAGATGGCCAACATGACTCCCTCCCTCTGGTTGTCCTCACTTCCTTGAGGTCTTTACACAAATGTCATCTTCTCAGTGAGGCCACATCTGGACACACACACACACACACAAACACCCTTCCCTAACTTACTTTTCTGCTGAGCCTTATAACCCTTCAACATATTTTTATGTATTTACTGAATACAAGAGCAGGTGTGTTTTGTCCGTATGTTCACTACTGTGTCCCCAGAGGTAGGACAGTGCCTGGCACCTAGCAGATACCTAGCATTTGTTGAGGGAACAGATCTAGAGCCCGCTGCTTTACGAATGAGGACTCTGAGGCTTCCGGCGGGGGCGGGCAGCTAGCTTGCTGGCAGCCACACAGTCGGGGCTTTTCAGGCCCCAGGGTGGGTGCCGCTCATCCCCGTGATGTTACCCTTCACAGTCAGGCCACTGCTTGGAATTTATATGCATTTGAAATGATAGGAAACACTCTTAATTTTTCCCACTTTTTAGGAGAGGGAAGTATACCAATTTGTAAGTAAAGTAAGATTTTAAAATGGAATTTAAAATTTTCTTGGTTTTATTTGTATTGGCAGGTGATTCACCCTAAAACTGATGAACAGAGATGCAGACTTCAGGAAGCTTGCAAAGATATTCTCCTTTTCAAAAACCTTGATCAGGTAACATTGATTTTGAAAATATTTTTGTTCCTTTATTTTGCTTCTGTAACTTGTTTCCTGAGCCTACACAGCCCAGCTGGCTCACTTCTCTCTATGTAATTTTCTAGCTAAATTGTCTCTTATAATTTGAAAAAATAAAATAGCTTTATCTTTTAGCTTTTTTCCTTTGTCATTTCAACAGTTTTAGTGTCTTAACCACAGCTATGTGAGGCATAAAACTTTAAACTCGTCTTACTTACAGATGTTTGCATTGTGTTGTGAGCTTTTCAGGTGACTTTAGCTTTCATAGAGCAGCTTCGACACTTCCTCCAGACGGTACCATTTGAGGGCCGTGCGGTTTGGTCACATGAAAAGAGAATGCTCAGGTTTGCGTGACCCTGGCTTAGTTAAAGGGTCTGAATTCATGCTGCAGAGTAATTTCTCCAGAGATGCCCGTGTGGGGTTCTCTTCATCTGTATCTGGAAGTGTGTGACTGCTTCTCAGACCTTAGGTGTGGGGCACCTCCTGGGATTACTTCCCATGGAGAACCTCAGGCAGGGGGCGCACACAGAGTGTTGTGTGTACAGGGCCCAGAGGGGGGATCTCTGCGTGCGCTTGTTTTCCCTCCCTCGGCGGAGACAGAGAGCAGGGGCTACCTCCTGAAGACAAACAGTCTTCAACTCTCCTCTGTCTTCTTCACTTTGAGGGGCCACGTGCTGAAGCCATGAATGGCTGAGATGCTGGACCTGCTGGGGAACCCCCTAATGTACAGAGATAGGAAGGCTGGGATTAGAATTCTCCTACTACCCAGCTCCTGCAGATAAGTCTTCTGAAGATATTCCCACAAGCCCTCCCTGGGAATCCGGCTGGCCATCCATGAATCTGTGTTATATCAGTCAAGCGGACCAGCCATCTCTGGGAAACCAATCTGTTTGCTAGCTCTGTGGTTTTAGGAATGCCCAGAACATTAATCAGAGACTCAGATTGGACTCAGGCTAAATAAAAGAAAACAAAACAAGGACTGTGAGCTCCAGGAAAAGCTGGTTGTGAGAAATGTTGGTCTGTCAGCTGTTTTCTCTCGATGGCCCATCTGTATCAGCGGAAGGGGGAGTTGCTTCTTGATCTACTGTGAACAAAACCCCTTGTGAACTTAATACCATTGGATGTTCTAAGGGAAGTTGCTATAGCAATTTAATAGTTTTGTTCGTTTTGGAGAATACCATTTTAGCTTCAAAATGATAACTGAATTTTCAGATTTACCAGTAATTATATTTTTCTAACGTTTTGTCATGAAAACATTCAAATACAACAAAGTTCAAAGAATTTTATGGAACAAGCATTTATTCACTACTTTGATTAACATTTACTATGCTTGCTGTGTTATATGCCATCTATTTATCCATTTCTCAGCAAAGGGATCGCCAAACTTTTTCTTAAAGAACCACATAGTAAATATTCCACCACAGTTACTCAACTACTTGGTTAGTATAGCAGGAAAGCAGCCATAGGCAATACATAAATGAAACAATGTGGCTGTGCTCCAGTAAAACATTATTTAGAAAAATAGGCAGCTGTTTGTTGGCTCCTATAGTAACCCATCTTATTTTAGGCGGTGCATTTCACAGTTAATTGCAGGTGTCAGTATTCTTTCCCTTAAACACTTTGGCATGCATGCCATGAACTAGAGCTTAATACTTGCTTATAATTTTTTCATGTTTTAAGTATGCATTCACAGAAGTTTGACCATATTGTACATTTAGGTAATCCAAACCCCTATTAAGATATAGTCACCCTGATTGGTGTGGCTCAGCGGATTGAGCATCATCCTGCAAACTGAAAGGTGGCCAGTTCGATTCCCAGTCAGGCCACAGACCTGGGTTGTGGGCCAGGTCCCCAGTTGGGGGCGTGTGGGAGGCAACTGATTGATGTATCTCTCGAATGTTTTTCTCCCTCTCTTTCTCACTCCCTTCCTCTCTCTCTAAAGTAAATAAATAAAATGTTTTTAAAAATAAAATTTAAAATAAATCTTAAGAAAAAAAAAAGATATAGAACATTGCCACCACTCCAGAAAGTTCCCTCATGCACCTTCATGATCATTTCTTGCCCCTCTGTGGGGACAACGCTCTAACAAACTGAGCTTACCTGGCCAGGGCTATTTTGGACTAGTTTTAACCTCACAAAAAAAAGTTGCAAAAAAACACAGAGATCTCATATATTCCTCAACCAGTTCCCTCAGTGTTCACACCTTACATAGACCATAGTACAATGATCAAAACCAGGAAATTAATGTTGTTACAATACTATTTAAACTACAAACCTTCAGTACCTCATGCAAATTTCACTTCTTTTCTCACTAATGTTTTGTTTTCTTCTGTTTTCCAGTTAAGGATCTAATTCGGAATCCCACATAGCATTTAGTTGTTATTTATTCTTAGTTTATGCCAGTCTGTGATAGTTTTCAGTTCTTTCTAAGTCTTTCGTGATGTTGGCACTTAGAAAAGTACTTCTTTTTTTTTTTAAGATTTTATTTATTTATTTTAGAGAGGGAAGGGAGGGAGAGAGAGAGAAAGAGAGAAACATCAATGTGCAGTTGCTGGGGACCGTGGCCTGCAACCCAGGCATGTGCCCTGACTGGGAATCGAACCTGCGATGCTTTGTTTTGCAGCCCTCGCTCAATCCACTGAGCTACGCCAGCCAGGGTGAAGATTACTTCTTAATTATCTCATAGAATGTACCTCAGTTCGAATTAGCCTGATACTTCCTCACGGTTGGGAAACAGTTACACATTTTTGGGCAGTCTGGCACAGAAATTGTGTTGCGTCCTTCTCTGAGAATTGTCTGTATGAAGGGGTCCGTGAAACCAGTAAGTCTCATTGCCGGCGACTGCAGTTCTTCCCTTTTTATTGCCGAGTAGCAGTCCTTTGCGTAGAAGGCCAGTTTGCTCATCCACCTTTCTGTTGATGGGTGCCCGACCAGTCTCTCGTTTTTCAGCTCTTACAAATAATGCTATGGACATTTTGTACAAGTCTTTCTGCGAACTTTTTTCCCCATTTCTCTTCAGTAAGCTACCTGAGGGCAAAATTGCTGAATCATAGGATAGATACTTATTTGATTTTATAAAAATAGGTCTTTTTGAAAGCAGTTGTATCATTTTGCATTCCTTCCAACAATATGTGAGATTCCCAGTTGCTCCTTGTCCACATTTAATGTTGTCTACTTTCTTAAATTTTAGCCATTCTGGTAAATGTATTTATCTCAATTTTTAAAAATTTAAAAGTTTCTACTTTTAATTCTACAAATTTACAGAAGGTAAATTTGTAGAATTGACCTTCTACAAATTCTGTAAATTCTACAAATTTACAGAAGGTCAAAAGAGTAGTACCACGAACAGCCATACACCTTTTACCTAGACTGACAGTTAACATTTTGCTACATTTACTCTTTCTCTCATATGCATATGTATACATGCCTAATAAGTACATATAAACTGCTTTTTCCTGAAGATGTGTTTTCCAAGAACAAAGATACTTTCCTACATTAATATATTACTGTTATTAAACTCAGGAAATTTAATATTGGTGTGATAATATTACCTAACATACAGTCCATATTCAGATTTTCCCAGTGAAGTTCTATGTAGCTTTTTGGTTTTGTTTTTCAAATCCTGAATCCCATATTGCTTTTGGTTGTCACGGTGTCATTTCAGTCCTCTCTAACCTAGAACACTCCCCTAGCACCTTATTCTATATCTCATGACACTGGTGTTTTTAAAGAGGCCAGGGGAGAAGAAGAGTTACTCAGAACAAGAGGCTACCAATGCACAGTCCCCAGGCCAGACACAGCCCGGTATAGATGTGTGTGTTTGGTCTGTATTGTACGTGAAAATCTGAATTTGTTACTGGTACAAGTCATGCGTTGCTTAACGACAGGGATACCTTCTCAGAAATGTATCGTTAAGCTATTTCGTCACCATATGGACATCAGAGCGCACTTAACGCAAACGTGGTACAGCCCACTACACACGTAAGGCATATGGTACAGCCTGTTGCTCCTAGTGCAAGCCTGTGCAGTGCGTTACAATGCTGAATACTTTAAGCAGTTGTAAACAGTGGTAAGTTTTGTGTATCTAAACATAGCTAAACAACAGGAGATTAAATCAAGCACAAGAGAAAAATGATGCAATCAAGAGATGCCATAAACACGAGATGTATGAGGCTGCTGCTAACATAGCATATTGTGTTACAACAAACTTTTTTTTAATAAATGGAAAGAGTACACTCTAATGATAAAAAGTGTAGTACAGTACATACATAAACGAGTTACATAGTTGTTTATCATCATCAAATATTATGTCCTGTGCAAATTGTATGTGCGACACCACTGACAGTGGGTTTGTGGACACCCCCGTCCCCACAGACATCACCATAAACATGTAATGTGTTTATGGTGCCACGATGTTGAGATGGCTGCAGCCTCACTAGGCAGTAGGAACTCTTTAGCTCCATTATCATCTTACTGGACCACCATCGCGTATGCAGACTGTCATTGACCAAAGCGTCGTTATGTAGCACATGACTTTATTGGAACATGAGATGGCAACACTGGGCTGACATTCCACATGAATGTGGATGGCATATGAGTAGTGAGCCTTCCTTTTTATATTTGTCAGCTTGTACAGTATTCAACATACGTGGAACTGTGGAACGAAAGTGATGTTTTTTGGTGACACTCAGTTATTTTAGGTAGCATAGTCACACTGACAGAACCCGGAATCACATGAAATTATCCACCAATAAAATTATGTCCTGGCCAGGTCTTCAACCCACATTCCTCCAAAGAAAAAGTCTTTCTTTGAGTTGAAGCTTTTTTTTTTTTTAAGATTTTAGTCATTTTTAGAGGGGGGAAGGGAGAGAGGGAGAAAGGGAAGGAAACAACAGTGTGTGGTTGCCTCTTGAGTGCCCCCTACTGGGGACCTGGCCTGCAACCCAAGCATGCATCCTGACTGGGAATCAAACCAGTAACCCCTTGGTTCACAGGGCAGCACTCAATCCACTGAGCCACACCAGCCAGGGCTGAAGCTGGTATTCTTTACTGAGCTCTAATGGTCACTGATCTCCCTGCCTGACAGAGGCCCTAGTCTGAGACCAATGTTTTGTTAGAATTGAATAGCATTGTTTTGTTTTCATTATACTTATTGATACAGTTACCTTCTGGTTATGGCAGGTAACATTGGTAAGTAAGCAATTGTACGTGTTTGTATAGAAATGATTGAAGCAGTATTAGTATCTGATAATAGATCTCATTTACTGAGTACCTGTTATGTACTGCTTTCCTTAACATTTATTAAGCCCCTTTATGCATGCGAAAAGAAGTGAGAGAGGTGTAGCGATGTGCTTGGCTAGTCAGAGCAGTTGTGCTACTCTGAAAGATAACCTCCAACGCCATCCCAGCCCCTTAGATCTGATAATCCTGATAAACTAATACCCACAGGAAGGTGGCCTCATATGGTTTTACATGTGACATAGCGGAGCATCAGGGCCAGTGGCAGGCATGTGGGTCGGGTGAGAGAATGGGCACCATGATTGAGATATCCGTGTTTGCTTAAATTATGGGACACTTTCTCAAAACAATGCTGCCTCAGAAAAACTCGGCACCTGAGCTGTGTGCACGGAGGTACAAAGCTGGATGGTTACAGGAAGGCACTTGTTTCAGTAGTCCTTAAGTTTCTGCTTGCATAGGGGGAATCATCTGATTTGGGGACTTCCACTATGTAGTCACAAACTGAGATGAGCATAGTCATTTTGTTTTCCAGCAGCTGTGAAAGCCATCTTTTCTCCTTGTGTTTACCCTGCAGGAACAGCTTTCTCAAGTCCTCGATGCCATGTTTGAAAGGGCAGTCAAGGTGGATGAGCATGTTATTGACCAAGGAGATGATGGAGACAACTTTTATGTCATAGAACGGTAAGAGATGAGGCTTTGCGGTTGTGCAGCCACACTTACAATGATTCATGTTTAGGACCAGTGCTTTACGCTATACTTTGTTCAGGCCCAAGAGGACGTAGGCAGGTGAACCAGCTTCCCAGAGCTTACCCATCTCCTTCCACAGCCTGCCCTTTCCGCTGTGGTCCTGAGTCCTCAGTACTCCCCACACTTGGGCTGCCACCGTCTCCGTGGAAAGTCTCCTTTACAGTTAGGCAAGCTGTGCTTTATAAACCTGTCGTCAGTGTTCAGAGGGATTGATTTCCTGAAGAATAGCTGTGATTCCATTATCATACAGATCTTTCAATCCCAGCCTCATCTTACATGGGAAGACACTGCCTCAACCTCTGCCTCTGCTCCAGGTGTAAGCCATGATGGAAAATACAAAATATGTGGGTTTGACCTGCTCGCCTTAGTGTGCCCTAACATCTGGAGCTGTTAGTATCACCTGGGGGATTCCTTATGACCGCTGCTGAAAGGGGTGCCCTCACCAGAATTTAAGATCAACACGATGTTGCCTTACCCAGTAACTTCCATATTTATTTTTTTATTTTTTTTAGAGGTTAATCACTTTTTATTGTTGAATTATATTGTCAAATCTACATCTACAGTTTAATCAGGAAAAAATGCTTTGCATTTACATCAAGGGAATTTTTTCTTTTGAAGTAATTTCAGAGTTACAGAAATGTTACACAAATAATACAAAAAAATTTTCATAAACCTAGTTCCCCAGGTTAGTGTTTTACCGGATTGCTTTATTGTTTGAGAGTAAGTTGCAATTACAATGCTTCTTCACCACCAAATACTTCAGTGTTTATTTCCTACAAATAGGACATTCTTTTACATAAGCACAGAACAATTTTAAAAATCAGAAATTAACATTTATACAGTACTGTCATCTCCTCTACAGACTTACTCAATTTTTCCAATTGTTTCCCTGATTTCCAAGATTCTTTTCGTCTCTGCCAAGTAATTATAACAGATTCATGTGGTTCCCTTTCTTGCCAGGCCTTGGCCTGTTCGGATTCTTGCGCGGAAAATGTTCTCCCTCCTTGAATAACCTCTGGACTCTGGATATCTGTGACAGTGTTACAGCGAGAAGGAATGTTTTGTTTAAGGAGTAAAGACATTACAAATAATAATCTTCTAAGCTACATTCCCACGTCCAGCAGCCACCTTTCCCCTTGCTCTGCCGTGTGCTCTCCCACCAGCTCAGGAGTCCTGGGGGCCTGCAGTGTGGGAAATAGGCGTCCACCTGCACGTGTCCATAGATAGCCTAAAGGTAGAAATGCCTGTCTGCAAAGGGAGTGATTTGTTACCTGTGTAAATGAGACGGATTATCTTTTGTATGCTGTGAAAGTAATTATTAACGCATTGGGAGAGACAGACCCTTAAATAGATAATTATTACTTATCCATTTAAGGATAAGAAATCCAATAATTATAATTATTAATTATAAATGGATGTGGTGGGAACAGCAGTGATAAAACTATGTTCTGTTATTTGGAAGAGGACTGGAATGAGAGCAGCCGCATCTGCTTTGCGGATGACCTTTGACCTGAAGTGGCTCATGTCATTCCCAAAATTCAGTAACTAGTGTCTCCTGGAGGACTGACTCTGAATTCCGCTTCCCAGTCATGGCCTCATTACTTTTGCCCTGTCTGCCGGGTCTAGGATAGGTCCGCTTCCCTGTGGAGTGGTGAGCTCTCTTGGGAGCAGAGTCGGTGCCACATAACCTGATACTTTAGTGATTGATTTTATCAAAGTGGAGGCTCTTAATAAGAAATTTAGAGAATTAAAATAAAAACAGGAGCCCTGGCTGGTGCGGCTCAGTGGCTTGAGCTGATTCCTGTGAACTGAAAGGCCACCAGTTTGATTCACACTTGCCTGGGTTTCAAACCAGGTCCCCAGTTGGGGGTGTGTGAGAGGCAACTGATTGAATTTGTCTCCTTTTCTCCCTCCCTTCCCCTTTCTAAATATAAATAAAATCTTTTTTAAAAATGAAAACTGGAAAGATAGTGATCTGGCCATAATTTCATTACCAGAATATATCAGTTTTTCCCCCTATGTTTTACTGTTGAGGTTAAATCTATGACCCCAGATTTGGTTCAGATGCTTTGACTGATGATACCACACGCACTAAGGGAATAAAAAGGTTTCTTACTCACATAATGAGGCTTTTTAGGGAGAGCAAGTCAAGCTCCCAGTAAGTCCAAAAATGACGGTAGGGAGGGGTGACTGACTTGGAACTTAACTTCACGGGGTTTAGAAGGTGGGACTGGGGTGAGGGTACTCTTACGTATGGGCTGGCACTTGTGTTGTCTGAATATCCCATCAGCACCATCGGAGGGAGCAAGAGGCTTTCTTACCAGCTTTCCTAGATGTGAGATGGGAGAGCAAGGTGGACTGACGGTAGGGCTTGAGAGCTATGACAGTCAAACATCAAAAATGGAGTTGACTGTTTATTACATTTACATGTGTGTACTTTTTTACATTGTGTCATACATTGTTGTGTGGCCTGATTTCGAAACCCATTTTAAGTAGTTTGCCACGGGATGTAGCATTTTCTGTCACCTTCATATGGACTGTGTAATGTGGATATAGACATGCATTTGACCTATCTCTTCTTTTTTTTTTTAATTTAATTTATTTATTTTTAGAGAGGGAAGGGAGGGAGATAGAGAGAGAGGGAGAAACATCAATGTACGGTTGCTGGGGGTCATGGCCTGCAACCCAGGCATGTACCCTGACTGGGAATCGAACCTGTGACACTTTGGTTTGCAGCCCGTGCTCAATCCACTGAGCTACGCCAGCCAGGGCTGACCTATCTCTTCTTGTTAGCAGATTAAATTGTAATTTTTGCTGTTATAAATATTACCTGGTGAGCATCCTTGTAGTTAAATTCTTTTCAGTATCTTTGATTATCTCCTTTAGAATGCCAATTAGAAATGGAATTGCTGTGTCAAAGGGTCTCTTTAAGGAATTTGCTATATGTTGTTAATTATCTTGGAGAAACTTGGAAACATGTACATTTGCAGCCCTGGCTGGCATAGCTCAGTGGATTGAGCGTGGGCTGCGAACCAAAGTGTCGCAGGTTCGATTCCCAGTCAGGCCACATACCTGGGTCCCATGGCTCCCAGCAACTGCAAATTGATATTTCTCTCTCTCTCTTTCTCCCTCCCTTCCCTCTCTAAAAATAAATAAATAAAATCTTTAAAAAAAAAAGAAACATGTACATTTGCCTCAAGTGGTATATTGAGAGTGCCTGTTTCTCCAGCTGCTTGTCAGTTCTGAATATCATTATCCATCAACAGATAGAAATGTTATTTTTGTTTTTTTCATTTTAATCAAGTCTACATCCTAGTTTTCAACAGACTACAAAACAAAACCCTACATTCATTTGAATAACTGCAGGAAAAGCATTTGACAAAATTCAACACCTTTTCTTGATAAAAACTCTCAACAAACTAGCAACAGAAGGGACTTTTCTCCAAATTAATTAAAGGTATTTTTAAAAACCTACAGCTAATATCATACTTATAGTGAAAAATGGAATGTTTTCCCTTTAAGACCAGGAACAAGACAAGGATGTCTGCTCTCACCACTTCTATTTAATATTGTGTGTAGGTCCTAGCCAGTGCAGCAAGGCAAAGAATAAAGAAGGAAAAGGAGGGAAGGTGGGCAGGAGGGCATATAGATTGGAAAGTAAGAAGTCAAACTCTCTTTGCAGATTACATGATTCTCTAGGACAGGGCTGTCAAACTCATTTTCACTGGGGGCCACATCAGCCTCAAGGTTGCTTTCCATGACCAACTGTAATTTCAACTCCTTAACAGTTAAGGAGTAGTTATATTTATCCAGTCCTAAAATTATTTCGGCCCTTTGAAGGCAACTGCAAGACTGATGTGGCCCCGGTGAAAATGAGTTTGACACCCTGCTTTAGAAAATCCTAACAGTGTTGCAAAAAAGCTACTAGAACTAATAATTGGGTTTAGCAAGGTCACAGAATACAAAGTCCAAATGCATAAATCTGTTGGGAATGCCCTTTAACAATGTTTTCTATCTTGTATACTTTCTATTTATATACCACCTGCCAGTTCTTAAATGTATTGTTGGAATTAATAAATGAAATTGGTTTTTGTTTTACTTTCAGGGGAACTTACGATATTTTAGTAACAAAAGATAATCAGACTCGCTCTGTTGGTCAGTATGACAACCGTGGAAGTTTTGGAGAGCTCGCTCTGATGTACAACACCCCGAGAGCTGCTACCATCATTGCCACTTCGGAAGGCTCTCTCTGGGGACTGGTGAGTTGGATAAATGGTTCCTCTTGCATGGCCCAGTACTAATTCCCTTAATTCCTGAGTCTCTGTCCTTTGGCTATTGATTAACGCTGTATTTTATAGACAGTTATTTGAAAGACATGGTGGAAGGCCCTGGCTGGTGTAGCTCAGTGGGTTGGGTGTCGTTCCACAAACGGAAAGGTCACTGGATCCAGTCCCGTCAGGGCACTTGCCTGGGTGGCGGGGCCAGGTGCCCGGTTGGAGACGTGCAAGAGGTAACTGATTGACGTTTATGTCGCACGTCGGTGTTTCCCTCCCTCTTTTTCCCTCTTCCCCTCTCTCTGATCATAAATGAATAAAATGTTTAAATAAATAAATAAAATGATTTGTCAGTACCATTTATTCTAAATTACAGGACAACAGCTGGGTCTCGTGACCCTGCAGTCATGTCAGCTCTTATTACTTTTTCTGTTTGATGTTTTTATGAGACAAGTAGGCCGGGGGGTGGAGTAACAGTCTATATAAGAGAGAGCAATAAGAAAAATAAGTCATTGAGCCCTAGCTGGTGTGGCTCAGTGGATTGAGTGCCGGACTATGAAGCAAAGGGTCCCTGGTTCGATTCCCAGTCAGGGCACATGCCTGGGTTGCAGGCCAGGTGCCCAGTAGGGGGCACAGGAGAGGCAACCACACACTGATGTTTCTCTCCCTCTCTGTCTCCCTCCCTCCCTTCCCCTCTGTCTAAAAATAAATAAAATCTAAAAAAAAATCTTACATGTTTTTTTTTTTTTAAACTTATCCTTGATCACTCCATCCTACTGTGAAATCTCTCTCCCTCCTTGGAATTCTTGTGGCACTTATTTTGTCTCTGTAGTTCATCCAGTACATTTCATATGCCGTCTTGAACTATAAATTTTTTTATTCCCATATATTGTGTATTGTCTTCTCATTGAGATTGTAAAGTCCTTGAGGGCAAAAAGCCATGTGATTGTTTTATGTCTTTTTTCTGAGGGTGCATCTTTTCACATTGAACAGTGATTGACTGTAAGCTCACAAATGTGTAATTGGAAGTTTTGCATTTTGTATTCTATTCATCCACCCGTAGGTGGCACTCATTGAGTACTACATAGCAAGCAACAATTTGTAGACATCTGTCTGGCCCAGGCTGTAGTCTTTTTCTCCAATAGATGACTTAGATTGAAATATCTGACTTAGTCCCTTTCACAGTCCTCTAATACTTGCTGTGGCCAGTTAATTAAACCATATTTGTTGTCTTACATACACATTTATCAGGATTTTCATGTTCTTTCTTGTAGGACCGTGTGACTTTTAGAAGAATCATAGTGAAAAACAATGCAAAAAAGCGGAAGATGTTTGAAACATTTATTGAATCTGTGCCCCTTCTTAAATCACTAGAGGTAAAGTCTATTTAAATAAGACTCTGTTTATGTAGATTTAAGGAAAGCTATTAAGCCCTGGTAGGGTGGCTCAGTTCATTGGAGTGTTGTCCCACACATCAAAAGGTTGTGGGTTTGATTCCTGATCAGGGCACATACACCTAGGTTTCAGGTTTGAGGCACGTACGGAAGGCAGCCGATCAATGTTTCTTTCTCACATCAATATTTCTCTCTCCCCGCTCCTCCTGCTCTCTCTCTAAAGTCAATAAACATATCCTTGGGTCAGGATGAAAAAAAAATAGAAAAGCTATTAAAACTATCCTATTGCCCTGGCCAGATAACTCAGTTGGTTAGAGCATCATCCTGATAGTCCAAGGTTGCAGGTTTGATCCCCAGTCAGGGCGCATACAAGAAGCAACCAATGACTGTATAAATATGTGGAACAAGAAATCAGTGTCTCTCTCTCTCCCCCATAATCAATAAATTTAAAAAATTTAATTAAAAACAATTCTATTGTTAGGTGTTCAAATCAAAGTATTCTAATCCATTTCTTTGGTGTATCGATGTTATTTGTGACTTTTAGTTGCAGTGTTTTCCTTATCATTTGTGAGTGTGTCTGTTGTTTCAGGTGTCAGAACGAATGAAGATCGTGGATGTGATAGGAGAGAAGATCTATAAGGATGGAGATCGCATAATCACTCAGGTGAGGGGTGGGGACTCGCCTCCTGAAGGACTGGTGCATCGTTTGTTCTCCCACTTTGGGGGGCCCGTGTTGCGAGACAGTAGGACACACTTCCTGCAGGGTGTTCCGAAGCCCTTTGATGGTCATCTCGCGGACGTGCAGATCTGTTGCCTTCACTCGCCTTTCTGTGGCTGCTGGGTGTGTTCTTTTGGATGTCATTTTCTTTTGATCCTGAGCAAGCTTCATTCACGGCTGTTAAAAGCTGGGGAAGGTCAAATAGTTGTGCCTTTTACCATCTGTCTGTGTTTGGCCCAGAGGCAGAGTCTTAGCTAATCTAACACAAACCAGAATCTTTGGTCTCCAAAGCAACTCTGTCCTGAAAGCCCCAGGCCTCCAGGAGGTATGAGAAGCCACAGTGTTTTCTGGTGTGTCTGTGCTCTTGAAGACAGGAGTGCTGGCTAGTGGTGCAAAATGGACACAAATTAATATGCTTATTATAGACTCCTTTTGACAGTGTCTCTAGACCAAGGGTGTCTCTAGACCAAGGGTTCTCAAGCAGTTCCAAATGGTTTTGAGAGGAAGAATGACAGAGTATTCTATTTCCAAAGCATAGTTCTGGCATCACTGAAAAATGAATTGGTGCCCTGATTGTGTAGCTTCGTGGGTTGGGCATCATCCCACAAAGCAAAAGGTTGTCAGTTGGAGTCCTGGTCAGGGCATGTGCCTGAGTCGCAGGTTTGGTCCCACATTGGGGCGCATGTGAATGGCATCCGATCGATGTTTCTCTCCCTCTCTTTCTCCCTTCCCATCTGTAAAAATAAATTTTAAAAATCTTTTTAAAAATGAATTGGCTTCAGCTTCATTGAGTAATCAAGGAAATGCAAATTAAAAATCACATTTAGGAACCATTTTCATACATATTACTCTGTCAAAAAGTAGGAATCTGACTTTTTTTAGAGAGGGGAAGGGAGGAAGAAGGGGAGGGAGAGAAACATCTGTGTGTGGTTGCCTCTCAAGTACCCCTCACTGGGGACCTGCCTGCAACCCAGGCGTGCACCCTGGCTTGGAATTGAAATGGCAACCCTTTGGTTCAGAGGCCGGTGCTCAATCTACCGAGTCACACCAGCCAGGGCATGACCTTTTTTTTTTTTTTAATCTGACAATTTTAAGTGATGTAGCAAGAACTTTTATTCACTGTTAATAGGAAAGTAACTTAATTGAACCCCTTTGGAGAGAAATTTAATCTTAGCCTATAAACTTCAATTAATCTTCAACCTCTTAATCTAGAGGTTTCTTTCCTTGATATTTTCAGAGAAATGCTCTCACACGTCAGAAGTGGCCCAACCCTCACGAGTTCCTTCTCAGCCACAGCCCTCCTGCCGCCCTACCCTGACTTGCATGGCAGTCACATGCTTACCACTCCTTATAGTTCTTACCGCTTGTGTGTACACCTTAAACAATACGGCCAAGGTTTACTTCTTTTTGTATTTCTTTCATTGGAATTAGGAAGTATATATTTTATTTGCATCTGCTTTTTTTTGCTCAATGTTCATTCACATTGCATGCAGCTGTAGTTTATTCAGGGGCGCGGGGTATTGCTATGTCCTATTCCAGTGTATGAATATAAACTGTTTGCCTTTGCACCACTGATGGACATTTGGGATACTTCTAGTTTTTAGCTATTACAAACAATACGTAAGTGATTACGTTGATTTGGTTTTCAAATGTTAAAGCTACCTTTTGTTGCTGACATAAGATAAACCAATGTGGCCATCATATAATATCCTTTTTATATGTTGGTAAATCCAATTTGCTAATATTTTGTTTAAGATTTTATATCTACACCTAGCGGGTGTGGCTCAGTGGATTGAGTGCCAGCCTGCAAACCAGAGGGTCACCAGTTCGATTCCCAGTCTAGGGCACGTGCCTGAGTTGTGGACTAGGTCCCCAGTAGGGGACATGTAAGAGGCAACCACACATTGATGTTTCTCTGCCTCTCTCCGTCCCTTCTCCTCTCTAAAAATAAAATCTTTTTAAAAAATAAAAAAGTAATATTTGAGCAATGCAGAAATGTATACACTATGAGTTAAAGGTTTCTTTAAAAACAAAACAAACAAACAAAAAAACCCGCCCTGACTGGTGTGACTCAGTGGTTGAGTGCTGGCCTGTGAATCAAAGGGTCACTGATTCGATTCCCAGTCAGGGCATATGCCTGGGTTGTGGGCCAGTTAGTTCCCCAGTGGGGGCTACGTGATAGGCAACCACACATTTATGTTTCTTTCCCTCTTTCTCTCTCCCTTCCTCTCTCTAAAAAATAAATAAGTAAAATCTTTATTAAAAAAAGATTTTGTATCTGTGTTCCCAAGTGAGGCTTATATGTACTTTTCCATTTTATAATAGCTTTGTCAGACTTTGGTATCAAGATAATGTTAACTGATAATGTAAGTTGGAATTCAGTTCTCTTTCTATTATCTGAAGAGTTTGTGTAAGATTAGAGTTTCTTGCCCTGGCTGGCGTGGCTCAGTGGTTGAGTGCTGGCCTGGGAGTCAAAGGCCGGTGGTTTGATTGCCAGTCTAGGGCACATACGTGGGTTGCAGGCCAGGTCCCCAGCAGGGGGCGTGGGAGAGGCAGCCACACATTGATGTTTCTCTCCCTCTCTCCCTTCTCCTCTCTAAAAAATAAATAAATAAAATCTTTTTAAAAAATTAGAGTTTCTTGGATATTTTATGGAACCAGTGTTTTCTTTGTGGAAAGATTTTGACTACAGATTATTTTAATTGTTAAACTATTTGAATTTTTTATTTCATTTTTTAAAATTGAATTTATCAGGGGGATATTGGTTAATAAAATTATATAGCTTTCAGGTATATAATTCTACAATATATTTCATCTTTGGTGTGTTTTGGTAAGATTTCTTTTTTAGGGATTTATTCATCTCTTCTAAAATGCAGTGTTATTGGCATAAAGTTGGTCCATAGTGTTCCTATTAATGTCTTGTAAATATCTACTGCATCTAGAATGATGTTTCTATTTTCTTATCTTTTTTTTTTTGAGATTGTATTTATTTTTAGAGAGAGGAGAAGGGAGGGAGAAAGAGAGAGAGAGAAACATTGATACATGAGAGAAACATAGGTTGGTCACCTCTCACATGCCCCCAACCAGGGACCTGGCCCGCAACCCAGGCATGTGCCCTAACCAGGAATCAAACTGGCGATCTTTTGGTTCTCAGGCTGGTGCTCAAGCCATTGAGCCACACCAGCCAGGGCTCTTTCTTAAAAAAAAAATATTTTGTTCCTTTATTTTTAGAGAGAGGGAAAGCAAGGGAGAAAGAGAGAGAGAGAGAAACATTGATGTGTGGGGCTAACTTTGATTGGTCACCCCTCGCACACCGAACCCATAACCCAGGCATGCGCCCTGACTGGGAATTGAACTGCCAGCCTTTTGCTTTGCAGGCCAATGCCCAACCCACTAAGCCACACCAGTCAGGGCGATTCTTTGAGGTTTTTTGAAGAACCAACTTCTTCCTTTTAATGCTATTGGGTGTTTGTTTTCTGTTTTATTACTTTCTGCCTTTACCTTATTTCCTTTCCTCTACTTTTTGTAATTTTTTTCTATTCTGTTGAGTTAGATGCTTAGCTCTTTACTTTTCAGCCCTTCTTTTACATTTATGGGCATTTTAAAACTAGAAATTTCCCTTCCCTACGTCTCTGAAGATCAGTGATAATCCTCAGCACTTAGAGATTTCTACTCTTAGTCCCCTTGGACATCTGTGCTCTGACTTCTGTTACTCTTTAGCACCAACACGCCACAAGCTTCTTTCTGCAGCCCAGTTGTTCTTTACACGTGCATTTTGCCTGAGGATGGGCTCCTTGCCCAATACAGATGTCCAGCTGGGGCCCGGATGCAGCAGAAAGAACAGAAGCCACTGCCTGTGGCAGGGGATGGTAGCATCCTAGCATGCACCTCAGCCTGTTTCTGGATGTTCTCCACACCACACCTGCTCTCTGGGCAGCCCCTGGCCAGCAGCTGTCCCTTCAGAGTTTTTTTTATTCCATCCCTTTAAGTTTGTCAACACAATTTTTTATGTTTGTGTTGATTTTTTAGTTTCTTTCATGGCTCTCCGTCCTTCATTAACTCCTGTCATACACTTACTTGTGTGATGCTAGAACTTCATGGTAATTTAGCTCTGCTGAGTGTAGGGTGCGACCCAACATAGCAGCACTGAAACCCACAGACACCCCTTCATAAAGCTGTGGCTCTCACTCACATGGGACAGTGATGATTGCGGGTAAGAGCCTCACTGAAGATATAAGACCCAGAAGAAATGAGAGCGTATGATTAATACTGAACTATCCAGTGTAGATGGTCACTGCTTCCGAGCTTACAAGTGTGGGCTCAGAGTCTGAAGTATGCCTGAAAGCTGCCTCTCCCCTGCTTGCCTAACTCTCACCTCCTTGCAGCCTCTGCTTAAATCTCACCTTCTCAGTGAGGCTCTCTGTCGGGTATGGTAGCCATCTCCTCCCCTAGTCCTCCACATCTCACATTCTCTGCTCCCTTTTTCTCCTGTAGCCCTTACTGCCTTCCAACACAGAAATAACTTACTGATTGTTATGTCGATTGTTTACAGTTTGTTCATGCTACCAGACTGTAGATTTCACAAGGGTAGGGATATTTGTTTTGTCCGCTGCCTGTATCACGTGCCTAGGGTAGAACAGTGCCTGGCAGAGAGTAAGTACTTAATTATTTGTTGAATTACCTGAATGACTAGTTCGGCTAAATGCGGTAAAATCAAAACAAGCGAAAGAAAAGCCTGAGGCTCATAAGGATGACATCAGCCCACATCAAAGCACCTTTCTCACCAGGCAGGGCTTTCCCGCTGCCCCCAGACAGCTGCATTTGATGATCAAGATGACCCCTGGGCCCCCGCGACCCAGGGGTGGCCAGGAGCCACCTTGATAGTGTCTGTAACAGCCTTGGCTCCTGTCCCCTTGACATAGGTTTCAGCAGTGTTCCAACACAAGCCGCAGGAAGAGCAGTGCTCTGTGCAGCTGACGGCCTGGGCATGGGCATGGAAGAAGAGGTGAATGTTCCATGTGAAGAAGGAGAGACGTGTGTCAGTTCTGTGGGACTGACATCCCCTGTGGGCAGCATCTGCTCGTTTTGTTCTGAATTTGCTAGCCATTGTCTGATCTGTAGAGTTGGAAAATAAATACAAATCAGAGCTCAGGCAATGACAAAATGATCTACTTCTGTGTCCGCCTTCAATACACATGTACCTGACCTCCTTTCCCTTTTCAGGGCGAAAAAGCTGATAGCTTTTACATTATAGAGTCCGGTGAAGTGAAGATCTTGATTAAAAGCAAGGTGAGTTGGTGTGTGATTATGTAAGTTATTCCAGGGAAGATCCAGATGCCAGGTGTACACACAGAAAGTCACTGTTTGTTTTAAGTAACGTGAAGTGTGTTTCGTGTACCCAAACCACCACTGTTAGGTGAGGCAAAGACCCATGTTGAAGCCCATCCACTGATGGGGATTTACTGTAATGTACTTATGTTTGTCCCTATTGCCTCTGCCTCTGTTGTGTAATTAATGATATGAGAAATATCGGCCTACAAGTCAATAAAAAGATAAATACCCTAATAGGAAAGTAAGGGAATTACATCATTAAAAATACATGTTGGTGTTGAATATGAAGATAGCTTCCTTATGGACCTCTGGGAAAGGAGGTCTCTAGGACAGTTATTATGGCTAATTATTATGGTCATTTGATGGATTGCGAATTTTGTACATTTTTTAGGTATTCGTTTCCACACAGCACAGTGTTGGGCGTGTAGGACAGCAGCACTGTGACACTGGGGGAATGGGCGAGTTTGTCTGAAATGCAGACCTGCTGAACCAGAATTGGCACTGTTACAGAAGCCCTGGGGTTCTGGTGTGGGTGTGGCAGGGCGGTGAGTGCTGTTCTGGCGGAGGGACTAGGTAGGCACCAGCATGTCTGTAGGCTCCGAGAGGGCTGCAGAAGGAGGAAAGCGCCTTGGCTTGAATGGGGCAGGCTGGTTGAAGAGCAAACAGGTCAGGGTGGAAGCGTGGACCTGTTTACGCTTGTCAGGGAGGACCTGTTGTCAAGGAGGAATAGTCAAGCCATGTAAGCTATTGAGGCACTTCTGTTTATTTTTCTAAATAAGTCTTCAATAAATTATTCTATCTGCCCATAACATAAAGGGGCTATGAGAGATTTCAGACTAATTCTTACTAATAAACTCTAAATAACTTTTTTACTTAAACGAGTTACTGCTTAGTTTAGTAGAGGGATTTGGTTTAAAAAAAGGAAACTCTAGACATTTAATACAGTATAGTACTTTACTCACCATTTTCAGTGATCTGATAAGCATGTGTTACACCCTACTTGATTTCTTAATACAGAGTTAAACCACCAAATTTTGGGGATGGACACAACTCTTCTTTTAAAAAGTGTGTGAGGGGACCACTAACTGAAGAGGTAGACAATACCTTAAAAGAAAATTTGTCACTGTAAAGTTTTATCTGAGAAAGGCATGGTCTCAGATCAAAATGTAGTAGCCCAGGATTTTCATTCTTTACCTAAGAAAAGCATTGACATTATTTAGAAAGAATTAACAAAAAATGTTGTTTATTTTCCCTGTGCCACAGAGGTCAGCATCTGACAAACTGGGAACATTCATATACAAGTATATGTGTAAAATATGTGCATTATTATATGTCAATATGCAATGTATTAATAATTATTGATTATATAACATTCTTTATGTTATATATCAATGACTGTATATTATATATTATAATTATATGTTATATGTTAATTGTGTATTATAATGTATAATGTATTACTATAAAGTATATAGTAATATGTATAAATCTTCACCAAAAATGGTCTGCACCTTACCTTTTGATATTTAGCTGTTACCTGAAAGGTGCTAGGACTCAGATGAAGTGTCAGTGGAAGCCAGCTCCTCTGATTAAACCATGTCACTGAGATTAGCCCAAAGTGAACTTCTCAGTAGCTGTGTTAAATGTACTAAGAAGGGAATCAAAGTGTGTGTGACTGGACGTGCCCAACTGTGGTTCTGGAGTCAGCCTGGGTCATCTTCTCACCCTACTCTCTAGACTACAACAAACAAGGATGGTGGGAACCAGGAGGTCGAGATTGCCCGCTGCCATAAGGGGCAATACTTTGGAGAGCTCGCACTGGTGACCAACAAACCCAGAGCTGCTTCGGCTTATGCTGTGGGAGATGTCAAATGCTTAGGTAAGAAAAATTCTTGCCGTGGCTGGTGTGGCTCAGTGGATTGAGCGCCAGCCTGTGAACCAAGGAGTTGCTGGTTCAATTCCCAGTCGGGGCCCATGCCTGGGTTGCAGGCCAGGTCCCCAGTAGGGGGCATGTGAGAGGCAACCAGACATTGGTTTTTCTCTCCCTCTCTTTCTCTTTGTCTTCCTCTCTCTCTAAAAAAATAAATAGATAAAATCTTTTTAAAAAGAAAAGTTCTTTATGTCTGAATACTTTTTTCTAACATTCAGTATTTTTTTTGCTCATCAGCAAGCCTTGACTTGTTTCACCAACTCTTACATCTAGACTTGGACAGTTTGCGTGACCCATCAGAAATGCGTGAATATTTTCTTTTCACAAACATTTCTGAGCATTGACTAGCCTGTGAACAAGATGGGCATACGGGCACCCGGGCATTGTCAAAAGAGGAGGCAAGTGTCCAGGCTTGTTTGGGGACAGAGAGAAATAGGTGCTGCTGGACTCTGAAATGTCTCAAACTTAGATGACACTGTCCTGCTGTGTTCACAGAGAAACATCCCTCCTCTTCCCCAGTTCCCGGTGTCCCAAAGTCTAAGGTCCTGTACTGTGAATGTGTGTATTTAAGAAAAGGCGTGCCTGAGGGAAACGACTTTGAATTGTTGATACAGAATTCATCCTCTCCCTCACGTCTTTTTGACAATGCAGTGATGGACGTACAGGCCTTTGAGAGGCTGCTGGGGCCCTGCATGGACATCATGAAGAGGAACATCTCACACTACCAGGAGCAGCTGGTGAAGCTGTTCGGCTCCAGCATGGATCTGATGGACCCCGGGCTTTAGGTGCGCCACGCCTCGGCGTCTTCTCAGTGTGACACCAGAACCTTCCGGTCAGCCACAGAACACACGCAGAACGCAGACACGACAGGACCTTTCCTTCCGTTGCCACCACAGCTGCCATTGCTGTGGCCATGGGCATTTAGAAAACTTGAAAGTCAGCACTAAAAGATGGGTAGAGGTTCAACCTGCACCTCCACTTTGCTTCTGAAAGCCCATTATTAGACTGCTTGTAATGATTGTTCCAACCCAGTTCCACATCTTTGGTTCCAAATGGCATGTCTCTCCAACAATTTAAGTGCCTGATACTAAGTCCAAAGTGTAAACATCTTCGTTTCCTCTCTTGCTGCTACTATTGCTTTTGGAAGTCACCACAGGTCTGCACAAACCTATTGTGTAACTGTAGATGCCCTCCCCCAACCTTTCTCAAGGGAGGAAATGTCGTAGCCTTTGATCTCCTCGTTTGTTCTTTGAGAAAGTCCACATTTGTTCACAATTGTAGCCTTCGGTTTTATGTTGGAAAGTAGTGGCAAATAGGATGAAGGTCTGTGGTCCTGTGGCATTTTGCTGTCTGCTGAAAGCAGCACACGTGACGGCCGTCTCCAAATTCTCAGTGATGCTTAAGGGATGGCCCTGCTCAGGGCCCAGCAGGGCAGCACCCCAGCGCACGCTGATGGAGCACTGGGACTCACCTTAGAGCAGAAAGTCTGGGTCTGGTACGTTGTTCCGGTAGCAGAAAGATGGAAGGTTTTCTGGGTTGGGGTTTTTTTGTTTTTTGTTTTGTTTCAGTAGGTTTTGTTTCATTTCATCTCCGTGCAGTTTGCCTGAATGAGTTGCTGTCCATTTATAAGGAGCCAGGGTTTGGGGATGTCATCACTTTATCCGACCCACAGACTTTCCTGGGTAACCCCTGCTGTCCCTTATGTCCAGGCGCCTCTACCGGCCGAGGGAGCAGGCCGGCCAGAGTTGCACTACAGAGATAGCCTTGGCTTCCACTCTGGAGTCATCACACAGCTGTGCTGTTGAGCCATCAGTTTTTAAACTCTGTGAAGAAGCAGCAGCTATTTTTGAAGTTCAAAAAATATTTCTCTAGGAATTCCCCTTGGACATATTCACGTATATCAGTTTGTCAGCTGACTCAGGCATGATTCCTAATGATTAACTCTTTGTTGGTTTTCAGAAATTGGCAACATTTACAATTTTATAGAATTACTGCCAAGGCCTTTCTAATTCAGATGTTAGGGTATTTGGGGTTCCAATTGTGAATCCCAGAAGAAAGTAATTTAGCTTCTGTTTTTAAACTTTTTTAACCTTTTAATTATATCAGCTAGAATTTTGATTATTTTAATTAACTAGATGTTTCAGAATGAAACTTCTTCTTCAGAATGACTTAAAATCAGATGATACAGGTGATGCTAAGAGCAGTATGAAATTTGCATAAATGTTAATTTGAGTGTTGTAGTTCAGTTTTTATTAAATCAAAAGGCCCTTTCCAATATGATTTTTTTAAAACTAAGTTTTTAAAAACTTAGGGATTAATAAATCCCTAAGATACTGCGTGCTGGGGCTTGAGCCATCCCTGTGGCGGATGGTGATGGGAGCCCGCGTGGCCACCCGCCAGCGCCCGCATAAGCCCGGCTCTCTGTTTTTGCCGCAGACACTGTGGCCAGGAGACTCCCAGAGCAGTGACTCACCGCGGCCTTGTCAGCCCTCCCCTTTCCTGTGTCCGTGACGTAAAGGCAGGAGGACTCCTCAGACTGGCTGCCCTCCGTGGCCTGCACTGCAGCTCGGAATCGTGAAAGGTTGAAACCAGTTCTCCGAAACAGGCAGCTAGCACTGGGAAAGTCCATGTGTTTTCCCCATGATTGCTCAAGGTGATTATTTTCTGTGGTGGTGTTTCATTATCAGGTAAGGAAGCAGATCTCGCACATCACCTGACAACCACCACACCCTTTTCTTGCCAACGTAACAGGTGCACACTGGGCTTCAGGGGTGACACGGAAGCCTGGCCCCAGACTGTGTGAGGACTTGAGGACTCGGTCCCCACCGAGCAGAGGTCCCCTGCGCACCTGCGTCCCACCTGTGAGGGCTGGCTGTGCGCTCCAGGCCAGTCGCTCCTGCAGGCTGCCCTCTTGCACATCCGGGTCAGTCCTCCTCTTCACAGAGTCCCCTGTGACACCCCCGCCTCACCGATGGCTGGTGTTCTACAGGGTAGAATTCATCAGATTTAAGTTCTCCTGCTCCAATTACAGACTGATATGCGGATGATCGGCTTAGCCCCTCACTGCGTACAGGGCCCCTTGGGGGTCTGGCTTTGAAGGAGGGAGGCTTTAAAGGGACCAGTGTGAGTGAAATAGGACATAGCCGTTTCCAAGGTGCCAGGTGTCTGACAGTGTTCCGAGTCTGTGTGCAGCGTGGGGAATCACAGGTGGTGGGCAACCACAGGTGGTGGGCACGTCCAACTCAGCGCCGTGGTGTCCACGTTGTGCCAGGCAAGCCCTGCACTGATGGTTGCACCTCACGGGGTGGAGCTTGTGTTGGAAAGCGACCCCTTCGGTCACTGACTTGGATGGTGGAGAATGTTCTAAGAGCTGTGAGGTCCAAGTTGCAGTATTACCCTTCCTTCTGACCCCAGTGTATCACATCCACTCTCTCTGGGTTATGTTCTCTGAAAGAAGGATTCATATGTTCTGACCTCTTAGTCAGTAGTCATGTATAGTTGTTACAGATTCTCAGAAATGCAGGCTTAGGTTTTCTTCAAGCAGTTTAATGAGAGAATTCGGCAGCAAAGTGGCCAAGAAATGGTTCTGCAGCCAGGAGAGCTCGTGCTCGTCCTCGTACCGCCCAGTCTCTGCTCACAGTGGCAGGGCAGTCGTGAGTGGCGCTGGCACCCAGCAGCACCCTGGGCACGCGGCATTTCCATGTCGTGTCAGGTGTACCGGCCACCCTCTCACGCTTAGAAAAACTGAAAGGGCATTTTTGCACAGAGAAGAAGAAAAGAGACCCATGAATGTCATCTTTTATCTTTTGCTTTCAGTTGGCTGATGTTGGAATTTGTGTTCTTGACATGCACTTGTAAACCAATCTTGCCAAGATACAAGTCGTTTCGGTTTCTCACTGTAATTACCTCTTGTCCCTCCTGTCTTGACTGCTGACGTTCCTCAATGATTCTAATGTCTATTTTATAGGAAGCGGCCTTCCCGTGGGTTTCCTTTTACACACTGCAGGGCTATCTTTATATTAAAAAAGTTTTTTTTTAAAGAATATTGTCACTAACCTCATGGGGGATTTGCAGAAAACCATTTAACCCACCTTGAGCAAAAGGTAGATTCCTCATTGTTTTCTTCAGCTCGTTGTAATAAAAAATCTAATTCAGCATTATTGTGCTACCTCAAAGGTAAAAATGTTTTAAGGTCTTGTTTTGGTCCTGAGTTCTCTACATAGTGTTTGAAATGTCTTTCAATTGGAGTTACTTTTAAGTCACTGGGAAGAATCTTATTTTAACCTGTTTTACACTTGTGTTGTAATCTCAGAAGAATAAGTGATTAATCCTTGCTCTGTAGTATTGAACGTATAATGATGTCATTGTTTGCCATAACCAAGGTTGGGTTTTTTTAAAGGAAACTCTAGGGCTTGGCTTCGCTTTTGGTTAATAAAGGCTGACAAATCACGTCCGGCTCTGCGGCTCTGGGGCTCTGCAGGGCAGCCTCGTGTCACGGCCACCCTCTCACGGCAGCGCTCCAGGCCGTCATCTCACTCACTGGGCAGGCGCGCGGTTGCAACTGGGGTGTGGGTTCTTAGAAATCAGAGAGGAGGCCCCGGGTGTACATATTAGTTAGGGTTCTCCAAAGGAACAGAACCAACGGGACAGTGGGGGAGGGGCGGTATGTGTAGAGAAATTAAAGAATTGGCTTTGCAGTGAGTTGGCAGTCTGCAGACCCAGGAGAGCTAATGGTTCAGCTCCAGTCCGGGTCTGAAGAAGGCCTGAGACCCAAAGAGCCGATGGTGTACTTCCTGCCCAAAGGCCGGCGGCCTGGAGGTCCGGGAAGCGCCGCCGTCCCGGTTCCAAGGCAGTCGCACAGGAAGATGCCCTCCTACCGGGAGGGAGACTCAGCTTCTGTTCTGTTCAGGCCCTCGGCTGATGGGGTGGCGTTAGGAGGGCAATCTGCTGTACCTCGGTCTGTTGGTTTAAATGTTGACATCTGCCTTATGGAAACCCCCAGAATAATGCTTGACCAAATATCTGGGCACCCCATGGCCTAGTCAAGCTGACGCATGAAACTAACCGCAGCTTTGAGTTGTTGGGAGATGGTGTGCGGGGGCATCCAGTATGTCCCTCGCCGGGAAAGACTCTCTCACCAGCGAAGCCCAACAGAAGTCATCTGCTGTCTGACAGTGTTACTTGTCATTTCCTTCTCTGTGACACAGCTGCCAGAAATAGCAATGACTCTGTGATAGCCCACTGTACCTACAGTTTCAAGTGACCACGGGGAGGTCATTCCGTGATAAAACCAGGTTCCAGTTTGATCTTGCCTCCACCTGGCAGTTATAAACAGTCAAGTAATGAGTGAACATACAAAACATGCACGTGGGGCCCAAGAAACTAGTCATTGAACCCTCAGACCCAAACCAGCCTTGTTTCAAGAATTTAAAAATGAAATTTTTTTTAATTTTTAAGAAACATCCCACCAGCCCTGGCTGGTGTGGCTCAGTGGATTGAGCTGTGGCCTGTGAACCAAAGAGTCACTGGTTTGATTCCCAGTCAGGGCACATGCCTGGGCTGCAGGCCAGGTCCCCAGTAGGGACACATGAGAGGCAACCACACATTGATGTTTCTCTCCCTCTCTTTCTCCCTCCCTTCCCTCCTCTAAAAACAAATACATAATCTTTAAAAAAATTAAATATGGTAAACCTTTGTGTTTGGTGGCATTACTGCTGTAAACAGTTAAGAAATGCCAGGACAGCATCGAAACCATGTTGTCCAGGCAGTCTCAGCCCTGAAGAGTGAGTGTCACGTGAGGGCTTTGCTTTCCGTGTACATTGTAAGAGGAAGCTAGATATTTGTCCTGTCAAAGTGACCTGAATATATCCTCTATATCCTCAGCAGTCCTAGTGCATCGATTTTATAAGAACAGAATTTAAAAGTACTACTTATAATAGGGTTAAAGAAATGGGGGTCGTTTCACAAGGCATCATGTTAAGTATAGATTTTGCTTCCTTTACCCATCCTCCCCATCGTAGGTGATGGCCAGTGATACGTACTGTCACCTGACTTTGAGATATGCAGAAAACCCGGGGTGTCCAACCTTTTGGCGTCTCCAGCCCACACTGGAAGAAGAGTTGTCTTGGGCCACACATTAAATACACAAACATTAATGAAAATAAAGCAATCTTACAATGTTTAAAGTAAACTTATAATTTTGTGTTGGGCCGCAGCACCTGAGTTGCAGGTTAGACACCCCTAATTGTAGACTGTTAACCAGGAACATACCGAGTAATCAGTTGTGAGTTGAGATAAGTATTATCCAAGTTCTGAATTAGAATGTCAGAAAGTGGGTCTGACTCAGGCCTTTGTTTAGTGAACAAGTCTTGATGACCTGCTGTGGACTTTCCCGACACTGTGTTTAAACCCCAGGCGTTGGCAGGACTAGCAGTACTGAGGTCCGCTGGGCCGTCCCAGACCTGGCCTCCGGTGCTGAAGGCCACAGCCCCAGGCTGCTCCTTTAAGGACGGTCACGGCTGTTGTTGCCCTTGGTCATGCTGCTCTTCTCTGTGTGGGCTACCATTGCCTCTTGGTAAAGTGAGTGGCTTTTGTTGTTGTTGTTATAAAGGTTTATTAAAACACAGCCACGCACTCAATTATTTATACAAGGGGGGACCCCCCCAAAAAATGGAATTATCTTCCGAAGGGCAGGCCTCTGGTAGTACAGGCTTGCCCAGCTCGGTGAGTGTTCTAGGAACCTGTCTGGATGAGTGCACCAGCTGGCATTGCTGTGAGAGGCTGCATTCGGCATCAGTGGATTTTTTTTTTTAAGACTCTTTCCATGCATTTGCCCATTTTATGATGGGTGATTTACTAGTGCACCTGCCCACACTGTTGCTGAGTGTTCAGTTTTTGACCAAAAATAGCACGACTCCTGTGCTCCACCCTCCCTATTCACCTGATCTCAGAAACCAGCAGAAGCACTCAAAGGCATCAAAACTGACGAGTTCAAAAACTTCTGAGCAGTGGGAAAAAGTCTCCATAGGTGTATTGCATCAAACGGGGAGTACTTTGGCAGTGACTGAGGTTTAAACATGTAAAAATAAATACACTTTTATACATAAATTCCTGGGATTGGGGGGGGTTGCGCCTCGTATACAGCTTGTGATAGAGGCCGCGTGGCCTGTGAAGCCATCGTTGATGTCGGCCCTGAACAGACTCCAAGTCCCCATCATGAGGATTAAGTGTAACCAGCTTGAAAAAGCAGTATTTGCCTTTTTGGTTGACGTGAGCACATCACTGACAGTCATGAGTTACTCTGGCTTTGGTAACAGCCCCCCTTTTTAAAAGATTTTCTTCATTCTTAGAGAGGGGGAAGGGAGAGAGAAAGATAGGGAGACACTGCCCCCCCAACAGGGGGTCGTAGGCCGGCACTCAGCCCACTGAGCCGCACCAGCCAGGGTGATAACAGAGGCCTTGAAAAGTGTACAGGATGGGCCCTGGCTGGCGTAGCTCAGTGGATTGAGCGTGGGCTGCGAACCAAAGTGTCGCAGGTTCAATTCCCAGTCAGGGCACATGCCTGGGTTGCAGCCCATGACCCCCAGCAACCACACATTGATGTTTCTCCCTCTCTCTCTTTCTCCCTCCCTTCCCTCTCTGAGAATAAATAAATAAAATCTTTAAAAAAAAACACATTAAAAAAAGTGTGCAGGTTGTGTATTCTGCCATCGAATCAACCAAATCTTCGGCAGGATGAAATTTTCCGGTAATTCGAGTGTATTGTTCCTGGCAACCCCCACCCAAAACAAGGCAGCAAACTACACGCTCCCTTTCCCCTTCTCCCTCTGCTTCCTCCAGCTCCACTGCTGTGGTCATGGCCACAGTTGGCAGGACCTGGGGGATGTTTCCCAGCCCGCACACTTTGCATGGGGCTGCTGAAAGTGAGTGTCTTGAACACACAAGTGTGCGGCGTCCCTCACTGCTCTAGCTGGCGTCACACAATCCTGGTTACAGAAGCGTCAAAGGGACTGTGGAAGAGAGACCATAGGGCTCAGACTTGAAGGAACCCCCCCCCCCCCGCCCCGCTCCAGGTAAGGGCTCCTCAGAAATCGTCATCTTCATGTGAGTCATCCTAAACATCGTGACGGAGTCTGGCCAGAGAGGCCTTTCTGGCCTAGGTTGCCTTCTTTGATGGTGTGTGCTAAGAATCAAACTTTTCTTGAAGTGCCTTTTTTTCAGGTGGCATTTCTACTGCTTCCTCTTTGACTTCTTTCCAACCAGCATCACTGATCCTGTGGGCAGTTCTTTCTGTTCTATAGAACCAGTTATCTGGATTGTCTTCAAGCACACAGACTGAAGCCGGCCGGGCCCAGCCCGTTTGTAGACTGCAGGGCCACCGGGGCTGTGACGGAGGGTGGCCAGGCTAGAGAGTGAAACCCAAGGGGCTGGGGCTCGGGGAAAGCCAGCAGACTTGCCTGCCCCTCATCCGTCAGTCCATTCCAACAGGTTACAAGAATGAGCCCCGGTCGGGTGGCTCGGTTAGAGCGTCACTGCGTCCACCGAAAGGCTGCAGATTCGATCCCTGGTCAGGGCACATACCTCGGGTGTGAGTTCGATCCCCAGCCAGGGTGCACACGATAAGCTACCAATGGATGTTTCTCTCTCTCTCTCTCTCTCCCTTCCTCTCTGTCTAAAATTAATATCCAGTCCAAGGGTGAAGATGTAAATAAATAAATAAAAGAATGGGCATTTGAAACAGTACCAGCTAAAATGCCCATGGCCTTGTTGGCCATGGGCCCACCCCTTCTCTGCAGAATTGCACTGAGCCAAGGGTCAAAAGTCACTGTGTACCCTGCTGGAAGCCCAGATCCAGCAATCTCCTTTCTGGCCAGATCCTCCAATCCCAGAATGAGGAAGCAGGGGTGTGCAATTGGGGGTTTTTTCCCTAGTAAATAGGTGAAAAGGAAGAGCTGAAGTCCAGACCCACCAGATGACCAAACCAGCACTTCCCAGCATAACATCCAAGCGTAGTTCAACTGGACATTTTCATTCCGAAAATGAAAGACCTGAGCAGGAAGCAACGTGCACAGCACCGCCGCCCCCCCCCCAACCCATGTCTGCCATGACCCCAGTCCGGGAGGAGGGAGGAGCAGGGTGCCTGAAGCTGAGTTTTGGGCTGCGGGGCAGGAGGAAAGAGGCCTTCGGGGCAGAGGTGCATCAGTCCCTGGCAAATCAGAACAGCTCAGGAGCCACCTTGGGCCCTGGGGTCCTGTCCTAGAGCTGTGCAGCTGGCATCGTGCCCAGGGCAAGAAATGAGGCTCAGATGCACCTGGGAACCAGCCTGGACCCCAGACAAGGGGTCATCCCCCCTGAGCAGCTCTGGAAGCCAGGGTGTCACCTCAACCTGAATGGAGCTGAGGGGTGGAGAGCATGTGACCCCCCACCACCACCCCCCTGAACTCCAGGCC